GAGCGCAGCTTCTCAAACCTCAAAAGAGCATCGGCTCACGTCCCCAGCTCCCTGCGAGAGCTCGCGTGCAGGGACCCCGGAGACGCTTACACGGCGAACGGGGCTCCGTGGGGACACCGATGGCGAGGGGCCGGATCGCGGCTTAGCCAGAGACAATGTCCCTGCCACCCCGGGCGGGCCACCCGCCGGCCGCAGCCACCACGGGCCACCCGCCCGCCGGCCACAGCCACCACAGGCCACCCGCCGGCCACAGCCACCACAGGCCACCCGCCCGCCGGCCACAGCCACCACGGGCCGCCCGCCCGCCGGCCACAGCCACCACGGGCCACCCGCCCGCCGGCCGCAGCCACCACGGGCCACCCGCCCGCCCGCCGGCCGCAGCCACCACGGGCCACCCGCCCGCCGGCCACAGCCACCACAGGCCACCCGCCCGCCGGCCACAGCCACCACGGGCCACCCGCCCGCCCGCCGGCCGCAGCCACCACCGGCCGCCCGCCCGCCGGCCACAGCCACCACGGGCCGCCCGCCGCCGGCCACAGCCACCACCGGCCGCCCGCCCGCCGGCCACAGCCACCACGGGCCGCCCGCCCGCCGGCCACAGCCACCACCGGCCGCCCGCCCGCCGGCCACAGCCACCACGGGCCGCCCGCCCGCCGGCCACAGCCACCACGGGCCGCCCGCCGGCCACAGCCACCACGGGCCGCCCGCCCGCCGGCCACAGCCACCACGGGCCGCCCGCCGGCCACAGCCACCACGGGCCGCCCGCCCGCCGGCCGCAGCCACCACGGGCCGCCCGCCCGCCGGCCACAGCCACCACGGGCCGCCCGCCCGCCGGCCACAGCCACCACAGGCCGCCCGCCCGCCGGCCGCAGCCACCACGGGCCACCGCCCGCCCGCCGGCCGCAGCCACCACGGGCCGCCCGCCCGCCGGCCACAGCCACCAGGCGGCCAGGAGCGTGAGTCTGGCTCACCAGCCCCGCTGCCCGGCAGGTCCTGTGGGAACCCGCCACGGGGAGGCGCCGCCCCTCCGGCCACAGCCCTGGCCGTCTCGGCATGCCGGCCGCAGACTCCTGTGGGGAGGAGGGAGGACATGCCTGCCTGGGACAGTTCACGTTCACGCCGGAAGCCACGTTCACACCCACGGGGAGGCTTTCCGAGGGCTCCCGCAGCCACGGCCCTCCCCTCCGGCTGGCGGACGGAGCCCCCGGCAGAGCCAGCGCCCTCCCTGAGCCGGACGGGGGGCGGAGTGGCGCTGGCCGCGCTATAAATAGCCGCTCTCGGGGGCTGGGAAGCGCAGGGATGCTGGCCCCGCAGGCTCCCTCCCTCCTCACGCCTGACGTCAGCCCTGGGCCCGGGGCGCAGCTGCTCTGACAGATTATAATAAAGTGGAATTTAAATAACGGCCCTGCCTTCCAAGGCCTCCACCCGGAGGGGCACGGAGGACGGCGCCCATCCACGGCCTCTTAACGCTCCCCGGGCCTCACGCGGCCACAAATTAAACGGCGCTTTATTAGAGCCAGGGAGGCCTGCGCGGTGTGGCCAGACCGCTGTGCACGCTGTCTCCGCGGCTCCGAGCCAGGCGTCCTTCCTCTGCCCAGAGCCCGGAGCCTTTCTCCGCTCACCGCCCCCTCCCTGCTCAGCCTCCCTCGGCTCACCCTCACCCCTGCCCAGCCTCCCTCCGCTCACCGTCACCCCCCCCCGCTCAGCCTCCATCCGCTCACCCTCACCCCTGCCCAGCCTCCCTCTGCTCACCGCCCCCCCCTCTGCTCAGCCTCCCTCCGCTCACCCTCACCCCTGCCCAGCCTCCCTCTGCTCACCGCCCTCCCCCCACTCAGCCTCCCTCCGCTCACCCCCACCCTGCCCAGCCTCCCTCCGCTCACCCTCACCCCTGCCCAGCCTCCCTCTGCTCACCGCCCCCCCCCGCTGCTCAGCCTCCCTCCGCTCACCGCCCCCCCCTCTGCTCAGCCTCCCTCCGCTCACCGCCCCCCCCACTCAGCCTCCCTCCGCTCACCCCCACCCTGCCCAGCCTCCCTCTGCTCACCGCCCCCCCCTGCTCAGCCTCCATCCGCTCACCCCCCCCCCCGCTGCCCAGCCTCCCTCTGCTCACCGCCCCCCCCCGCTCAGCCTCCATCCACTCACCGTCCCCTCCCTGCTCAGCCTCCTTCCGCTCACCCTCACCCCTGCCCAGCCTCCCTCTGCTCACCCTCACCCCTGCCCAGCCTCCCTCCGCTCACCGTCCCCCCCCTGCTCAGCCTCCCTCTGCTCACCGCCCTCCCCCCACTCAGCCTCCCTCCGCTCACCCCTACCCCTGCTTGGCCCACTCTGCTTGTCCTTCAGAACCACGGCCGGTCACCTCCTCCAGGCAGTCCTCCCTGACTGCCCTGGTGCAGGTTCACAGGGCACACAGGCGTGGGAGAGTCTGTCTGATGGACTCTATCCAGACCCGGCGTCTCACCGGACAGGGCCTTTGCCCCCGCTGTACCCCCGGCACCCAACGCCCTCCAGAAAGCAGCCGGTTTGAGGGCGAGCTGGAGGCCCCTTCTCCCGGTCCCTTCCTCACTGCAGACCCGGGCCCTCTTCTCTCCCTCCGCACCCCCGGGCCCGGCCCCGCCATCGCACCCCTTCGGAGCACCTGCAGGTCTGGCCCCGCGCCCGCCCTTGCCAGCGGGTCCTGGGCAGGTGCCTCCTCCCCTCTGTCACCCCCGCCCGCGCCTCCACTCCCACGCCCGGCCGCGTTCCCAGCCCAGCGGAGCCGCCTTCAGCTCGGGGTCCTGGCTGTCCGCGGCCACCCTACCCCGGGCCCCTCAGCGCTCCGCGTGTCAAGCTCAGGGGGTGCCAAGGTCCCTGCGCCGCCCCCGGCTGCCCTGGGCGCCCTGTGCCTCCCGTGACACCCACACGCAGGCCCTGACCCCCGGCCGCAGAGCGGGGCTGTTTGGAGAGAACTGAGGCAAAATGAGGTCATAGCGCTGGGCCCGGGTCCAGCAGGACGGGCGTCCTTGCGAGTGAAGGCGATGAGGACAGACACACACACACACACTCAGAGGGACGGCCTGGGGGACACGGGGAGGGACGGCCGTCTGCACGCCACCGAGGGGCCTGGGGAGGGGCCGCCCTGCCCACCCCTGGTCCCGGACCCCAGCCTCCCAGATGGGGGGGGGGGGAGGGACTTCTGTTGTAAAGCCCTCGGTCTACGGCCCTTCGTGTGGGCGGCCCTCGGGCGGTCCCCTGGCCAGGGGCTCCGTGCTCCCTCGGTGCTCTGGCTCGATGGGTCCCCGGACCCGGAGAAGAGATCTCGGGTAATCAGCTCGGAATCCTCTCTGCTCACAGCCCCCTCGCCCTCCCAGCCCTGTGCACACAGCGCGGGGCCAATGCGGGCCATGGGTGGGGGAGAGGGTCCCAGGTTCCATTCCCAGGCAGGGCATATGCATGGGTTGTGGGCTCAATCCCCAGTGGGGAGCATGCAGGAGGCAGCCGATCAGTGACTCTCCCTCTCCTCTGAAATCAATAAAAGGTACGTAAAAATAGATAGTGAAAGAAGCAGAATAAGCACGGGATTTCCCGGGAACAGTTAGATTGGGAGGGCCCAGCTGTCTCCCGGGGCAGCTTGAGGCCACAACCCAGAGGCAGAGACCAGCACTCTGTCCACCTTCGCTCCGTCCACCTCCCAGTCACCTCTCTGCCCCTGGGGACCCACCGGAGGCCACGCGGGCGGCGTCCACGGAGCATCCACGTCACTGTGACCCCGTTCCCGCAGCGAACCGTGCCCGAGGCAGCCGGTCCCTCCCACCCTCCCGGACGGAAACGCGCCGGTGTTGGCGCAGCAGCCACGCCGGCCTCCAGGGCCCCTTTGCGGGCGCTCTGCACACCCCGTAGAAAGCCCACCCCTCCCGATGCTTCCTCAGCCCTGGAACAAGGCCCCTCCGGCCCGTCTGCGGAGGCTCCGCGGCACCGGCCTGCTCCAGGAGGGACAGCGGTGCGGAGCCGGGTCTGGGTGGCGGCCGCAGGGAAGGGAGCGGCCCCGTGGGCGGGAGCAGTGGGGAAACGTTAGAAAACGGCTGCACACGCGGGTCCGGCCGGTTTCCCCGCTGAGACTCAGCACCGCGTCTCCCCCCGCCGAGCACCCAGGACCCCACCCAGGCGGCCTCCTCAGAACTTCGGGGAGCAGAGGTCAAGGAGGAGAGCTGGGCGTCAGCCACTGGGGAGACCCCGTGAACAGCAGCAAGCAGACTGCCACGTCCCTCCCCATACAACCAGCCATGCACACACGCACACACACGCACACATCTGCCACCTCCCAGCACCACCTTCCTCTCCAACTGTCCTGACCCCCAGGGCTGCCTGGAGGGGACTCCACCGTGACCGTCAGTCAGCTCCCCAGGGGGAGGGACGGCAGCCCCCCGAAGAACGCAGAGGTATCCCCAAGTCCAGAGACGCAACTCCACAAAGGATGGGGCAGGAGCCGGAGCCCGGGAACCGCAGCCGGAGCGCCGGGGGAGGAGGAAGGAGTGTCTGCTGAACTTCAGATGGAGAGGCCAGCGGCAGGGCCCACAGGGGGCAGGTGGAGGGGCGTTTGCAGACTGCAGGTACAGAGCAAGGGGGGCCCCAGGTCCCTGGGCCTCCAAGTGCATCCCTGGCAGGACTTCGGGTGGCCGTGGCGCACACGAGGGTAACTGGGGAGAGGGGAGGCCTCGGAATCGGAGACCAAGCTGGCGGGGAAGCCCTGGGGCCGCCGAGGTGCCAGGAGTAAGACCAGGCTGACCAGGGCGGAGGGGGTCCTGGGGCAAAACCCCAGAACGCACGGCGAGCGGAGAGGAGGCGGCTGACGGCCCGAGCGCAGCACCGAGTTGGGGATCCCCCTGAGGGCCTGGGGCGCCCGGGGCCAGGACCCCGGGAATCTGTGGAAAGGGTCCCTCCCCCAGTTCCCGGGCCAGAGCCGGCAGGGAGCCCGTGCCGCGTCCCCGGGGCGCGGGGCGGGGGCGCGGGGCGGCGCGGTCACTCACGCTGCTGTCCTCGCCCGTCCAGTGCACCATCGCCTGGTTGTGCGTCGCGTCCCCCTTGAGCACGAACGACGAGCTGGTGAGCGGGACCTGCGCCCGCGCAGCCGCCCGCACCCGGCGGCCCAGGCCGGGCCCCGGAGGGCCGGGCGCGGAGCGGGCCAGCCGGACGGGGGCGCCGCGGCGGCCGGGGGAGCAGGCGCCGGGCGGCGGCAGCAGGAGCAGCAGGAGCAGCGGGAGCAGCGGGAGGAGCGGGAGCGGCGGGAGCGGCCGGGGGCGCGGGCAGCGCGGCGGCGGCGGCGGCGCCTCGGGCCCCGGAGCCCGGGCGGCCGGGCCGGGGCCCCTCGGGGTGCGCGGGGGCCCCCGGGGCGCCATGGGGCGGCGGGCGGCGGCGGCGGCGCGGACCCGGGAGAGCGCTGCCCCAGAGCCAGCCGGGCGGCAGCCGAGCAGAGAAAGGAGCGGGGCGGGCGGAGGAGGGACCGCGCTCGCCGCCGCCGCCGCCGCCGCCGCCTCCGCGCCGAGGGCGCACCGCCCCCTGCCGGCCGCCCGCCGCCAGCGCGGGCTCAGCCCCAGGTCCGGGCGCCGCCCCCACCTCCAGGCCCAGGGCGGCCCCCCTGCTCCGCCCTCCCCTCCACCTCCCCTCCCTCCTCCCTCCCCTCCCTCCTCCCTCCCCTCCCTCCTCCCTCCCCTCCCTCCTCCCTCCCCTCCCTCCTCCCGCCTCCCTCCCCTCCTCCCTCCTCCCTCCCCTCCTCCCTCCCTCCTCCCTCCCTCCCTCCTCCCTCCCCTTCCTCCTCCCTCCCCACCGGCCTCCCCTCCAGCCTCCCTTCCTCCCTCCCCTCCTCCCTCCCCCTCCTCCCTCCCCTCCGGCCTCCCCTCCTCCCTCCCTCCTCCCTCCCTCCTCCCTCCCCTCCCTCCTCCCTCCTTTCTCCCTCCCGTCCTCCCTCCTCTCCCTCCTCCCTCCCCTCTTCCCTCCCCTCTTCCCTCCCCTCCTCCCTCCCCTCCACCTCCCCTCCCTCCTCCCTCCCCTCCCTCCTCCCTCCCTCTTCCCTCCTTCCCATCCTCCCTCCCCTCCCTCCTCCCTCCCTCCTCCCTCCCATCCTCCCTCCCCTCCCTCCTCCCTCCCCTCTTCCCTCCCCTCCTCCCTCCCCTCCGGACTCCCATCCTCCCTCCCCTCCCTCCTCCCTCCCTCCTCCCTCCCGTCCTCCCGCCCTCCCTCCCCTCCCTCTTCCCTCCCCTCCTCCCACCCCTCCGGACTCCCATCCTCCCTCCCCTCCCTCCTCCCTCCCCCTCCTCCCACCCCTCCGCCCTCCCCTCCACCTCCCCTCCCGTCCTCCCTCCCTTCCCTCCTCCCTCCCCCTCCTCCCTCCCCTCTGGCCTCCCCTCCTCCCTTCCATCCTCCCTCCCCCTCCTCCCTCCCCTCTGCCCTCCCCTCCACCCTCCCCTCCGGCCTCCCCTCTGCCCTCCCCTCCGGCCTCCCTTCCTCCCCCTCCCCTCCGGCCTCCCTCACCTTCCACCCTCCCCTCCGGCCTCCCTTCCCCCCCTCCCCTCCGCCCTCCCCTCCACCCTCCCCTCCGGCCTCCCCTCCGGCCTCCCCTCCTCCCTCCCCTCCGGCCTCCCCTCCTCCCTCCCCTCCGGCCTCCCCTCCGCCCTCCCCTCCTCCCTCCCCTCCGGCCTCCCCTCCGCCCTCCCCTCCACCCTCCCCTCCGGCCTCCCCTCCTCCCTCCCCTCCGGCCTCCCCTCCTCCCTCCCCTCCGGCCTCCCCTCCGCCCTCCCCTCCACCCTCCCCTCCAGCCTCCCCTCCGGGCCCTGCTCCTCCCACAGCCGCGCCAGTGACTTCAGTCCCAGCTCCAGGGCCAGGGGCAGCCCTGGGCGGAGGAGAGGCACTGGGTAGAGGGAGTGTGGGGGGGGGGTCCCATCCAGGCAGAGCCCACCATGGTCACCCGGCCTTCAGACAGTCTGTGTAGTGTCCCGGGCGCCCGCCCTGCGCCCGCTGGCCTGGCCCCAGAGGAAAGTACAGGAGCCAGAGCTCCGCGCCCTCGGCCCCCGCGTTCAGTTTTAAAAGCCCTCAGGGTCAGCGTCCCTGTCACACCAGCCTCTGAGCTGGGCCCCTGCTCCCCAGACAGCGGGAGCCTAAGGGGGGTGAGCTTAGCCTGGACACTGGGAGAGAGAGTGGGGGTTCCCTCAGGCCTGCAGACACCTGAAGACAGGGCCCCTCAGCAGAAGTCACATCCAGAAAGTACTGTCCTCCTCCTCCCCTCCCCGCCCCTCCCCTCCCCGCCCCTCCCCGCTCCTCCCTCCCCGCCCCTCCCTCCCCCCGCTCCTCCCCTCCCCCGCTCCTCCCCTCCCCCGCCCCTCCCCTCCCCGCTCCTCCCCTCCCCGCCCCTCCCCTCCCCCCGCTCCTCCCCTCCCCCCGCTCCTCCCCTCCCCGCTCCTCCCTCCCCCGCTCCTCCCCTCCCCCGCCCCTCCCCTCCCCGCTCCTCCCCTCCCCGCTCCTCCCCTCCCCGCTCCTCCTCCCTCCCCCGTCCCTCCCCCGCTCCTCCCCTCCCGCCCCTCCCCTCCCCCGCTCCTCCCTCTCTCGCTCCTCCCACCCCCTCCACCCCTCTCTCGCTCCCCTCCCCTCCCACTCACCCCTCCCCCGATCCTCCCTCCCCCTCTCCTCTCCTCCTCCCCTCCCCACTCCACCCCTCCACCCCCTCCCCCTCCCTCCCCCCCCGCTCCCCCTCCCCCGCTCCTCCCCTCCCCCCCCCTCCCCTCCCCCCCCCCCCCCCCCCCCCCCCTCCCCCCCCCCCCCCCCCCCGCCCCCCCCCCTCCCCCCCCTCCCCCCCCTCCCCCCCCCCCCTCCCCCCCCCCCCCACCCCCCTCCTCCCCTCCCCCGCCCCTCCCCTCCCCCGCTCCTCCCCTCCCCGCTCCTCCCCTCCCCCGCTCCTCCCCTCCCCCGCTCCTCCCCTCCCCCGATCCTCCCCTCCCCCGCTCCTCCCCTCCCCCCGCTCCTCCCCTCCCCGCTCCCCCCCGCTCCACCCCTCCCCGCTCCACCCCTCCCCCGCTCCTCCCCTCCCCGCCCCGCCCCCCCCCGCCCCCCCCCTCCCCCCCCCCCGCTCCTCCCCCTCCCGCTCCTCCCGCTCCACCCCCCCACCCCGCTCCTCCCCTCACCTCCCCCCTCTCCTCCTCCCCTCCCCGCTCCCCCAGCTCCAGGCCGCAGCACCCCACCACCGCTCCAACCCCTCCCCCCTCCTCCCCTCCCCCGATCCTCCCCTCCCCCCGCTCATCCCCGTCTCTCGCTCCTCCCTCCCCCCCCTCCACCCCTCTCCTCCTCGAGCTCCACTCCCCCGACTTCCACCCCTCTCTCGCTCCACCCCTCTCTCGCTCCTCCCCTCCCCCGCTCCACCCCTCCCCCGATCCTCCCCTCTCTCGCTCCTCCTCCCCTCCCCCGCCCTCCCCTCCCCGCCCCTCCCCTCTCCCCGCCCCCCCGCTCCTCCCCTCCCCGCTCCCCCCAGCTCCACCCCCCACCCCGCCCCTCCCCTCCCCCGCTCCTCCCCTCCCCCGCTCCTCCCCTCCCCCCCCTCCCCTCCCCCGCCCCTCCCCTCCCCGCTCCTCCCCTCCCCGCTCCACCCCCCACCCCGCTTGTCACCGCCCAGGCTCAGGCTGAGCCACCGCACCCGTCACCGGGTTGGGGTCCCTGACAAACGGGGGGGCAGACCCGGGTGCAGGTGGCTCCCTCACAGGTGCTCAGGGGGCAGGACTGTGTGTCCTTCTCTGAGGCGAAGCTCAGAGACCTGTGACCCCCCCCCCAGACCACTCAGCTCATGGGCCACTGGGCGTGAGACAGAGTGACGGACGGGTCCGTCGGACGGTTCCCCGTGCTCCGAGGCCCTGCCCTCGTGTGGGCGGCAGTCCTGGCACACACTCCCTTCACGAGCGCCGAGGCCCGGGGCCTGGCGTGGGGCAGAGCTGGGGAAAGCGGACTGGCGCTCAGGGGCCTCTCTCCCTGCATGTCGCTGGCCACGGGGTTTGAATCCGCTGCCCCCCCCCCCCCCCCCCCCCCCCCCCCCCCCCCCCCCCCCCCCCCCCCCCCGGACAGCAGCAAAACCAGGCCAGTGGGCGCAGCGGCCTCTGCACGGACAGATGACCCTTGGCCCTGAGAGAGCAGCGAGGCTGACGGGTGGTCTATTGGGACCCTCCCCTGGGACCTGCCCTCAGCCTCCACCTGCAGCAGAGCAAGGGGCACCCTCCGTGCAGAGGACCCCGCGGTGGGCTCTCCCTCCTGGGAGCACGCCCTCACCCCTCCCTTCCTCTCCATCCCCACAGGCACACCCTCCTAAACTCCAGGGGACCCCGAGACCTGCAGCCAGGGGAGCACTGCGCAGTGCTGAGGCCCCAGGCTGAGCTGTGAGTCCCACAGATGCTGGGTGGGGTGAGGTGGCCCTGCCAGGAGGTCCCCCCACACACACCAGCACATCACCCGCCCCAGCGAGCACACTGCATTCCCACAGTCCTGCGTTTCCAACGCTGTCACCTGGCCGTTTGCTTGCTGTGTGCTCAGGCCTCAGTTTCCCCGTCTGTAAAATGGGCAGGAGTCCCTGAGGCTCCCTCCAAGAAGGTATCATGTTGGGAAGTGCCACCGAGGCGGCCGTCCTTTCCAAGGGCTCACGGCACTTGCATAAGGATATACAAGTTTAAAAGTCAAGCTCTGCATTTAAAAATATATATTTTATTGATTTTTTTACAGAGAGGAAGAGAAAGGGATAGAGAGTTAGAAACATCGATGACAGAGAATCATCGATCAGCTGCCTCCTGCACACTCCCTGCTGGGGATGTGCCCACAATCAAGGTACACACCCTTGACCGGAATCGAACCCAGGACCCTTCAGTCTGCAGGCCGACGCTCTATCCACTGAGCCAAACCGGTTTCGGCCAAGCTCTGCATTTTAAACACCAGGCTTCCTTTCACTCATTCCATCCCCCCTGCTTTCTGACCCAGGGGCTCCCCCTGCTGCTGACAGCGGTGACACCTGGTGAGCACAGCGATTGTGGAGAAGTGCTGAGTGGATGGCAGAGTCCATTCCGCCCTCACCGGCAGCAGCAGCAGCAACTCATGCAGGGAGGTGGCAGGGAGTGGCAGATGGCCAGGACATGCAGGACAGTCAATGGCTCTGAGGCCCACAGGCTACAGGTGTGTCCCTTCTGAGGTCGGGTTTCCAAAAAAAGGAACAACTGGTGGAGTTTCAGAAAGTGGATCTAGAAGCATCTGTTTGGGTTTGTGGCTATGTATTAGATCAGTGGTCACCACCTGGTGGTCCATGAGTGCAAAAGGCTAGCGGTCACTATATTAGATGGATCCTCTATGCCTCTCAATCTCTAGTGCAGGTCAGTATAGTGCAAGGCTGTTTCTGACCAATTGGATCAGGCAAAGACTCAAAGTCTCCAGAGACTGCCTCCGCCTACAGACTAATAAGATTCCAACTTGAATTACCCCCAGGCAATTGTCCTCAGGTGTGGTGAGAGTTTTTTCAACAGGGTGGGGCAGTTGCTTCTGCCTGGAGGGTAATTGTTATTTTTAATCTCCTTAGTGGCCTCAGGGCAAGGTGTTTTCCAATAAGGTGCATTGACTCTTCCTCCAGGCAAGGCAGGTGTCTCTTGTGGGAAAGATGTCCTCTGCTGCTGGAGGGAATGGCTCAGCCCAAGAAACTTGGGTGTCTGCCTTCTGAGCTCTATCCCCCGAGTCCCCAGCCCTGGGTTCTGCTCTCACAGCTCCAATCCTCTTCACCCTCCCTCTGCCAGGGCACAAGGTGGGTGGCTCCACAGGGAATTTTTGCACTTTAAGAGGGTGCCCAACTTTCAGCTGCCACTCCCTGGCAGACGGCACCCCACTGCTTTCCACAGCTAGATGTTATGTGGGTATCCTCCTCAGTTTGGTGCTCTCTGCTGGGGGCCCAGCTTGGGGATTAGATCTGAGTTCTCCGTGGCACCTCTGACAGCTGAGATATCTCTGGGACTTCAGTTGCCATCTGTGGATGCCCAGCCAGCCCTTTCGCACCTCCGCCCCTCCTACCAGTTCAATGCGGTCTCCACCTTCGGTCCTCGAGTATCAGGGTTCTCTCCTGCGAGTTTTCCGTTGATTATTCAGGAAGCCTTTCCACATTTCAGTTGTAATTCCAGCTTGTTCCTGGGAGCATGTCCATGCAGCATCCTCCCAGTCTGCCACCATTTTGAACCTCTCTCTAGCAGAGTCTGAAATGCGGGTTTGGGAGAGAGACAAGGAGACCAGCAGCGGAGGGAGGGGGCCCATGGCCATGTGAGTGATGCCAGGCCTGGACAAGAGCAGGGGGAGGGGTGCAGAGGAGGAGCACAGGAGGGTCCCAGTCTGACTGGGCAGGGGAGAGAGACAGAAATACCTGGGGACAATGAGGCCCTTGGCGGGGGGGGGAGGATGTGACAGAGCAGGTATTCAGTCAGGTGTTGCCTGCAGGTGTCCGGACTCCTGGACGCAGTACCAGGCCAGGCTGGGCACCCCAACTCAGGAATCCTGTGTCCACGCACCCACAACGTCGCTGCAGGTCAGTGCCCTCTCTGCTGGCAGCTCTGCGTGGGGCAGGCATGGCCTCCAAGGTCACGTGGCAGGAGAGAAGGGAGAACCGCACAGGATGTGCTCGGGGTCACGCCACTGCCCACATCCCATTGGCCAGAGCTCCAGTCACAGCCTCCACCTCCCTGCACAGGAGGCAGGCAAGTGCAGGCAGGGAGGCCCCCGGCCTTTGGAACCGGTGAGCAGGGGAGTGCCAGGGCCCGAGACGGAGATTTGGGCGAGTCTGTTGAGTGTGATCACTTGGGGGGGCTGGGTGGGGAGGGGGGACGACGAGAAGAGATGAAACGGTGACACCACACATTCCTCGGAGGAGGTGTCGGAATTCCCGGAGGATGACTCCAGACGGAGTCCAAAGCTCTTGTTTTCCAGTATCTGATTGCTTGTTGTCATGCAGACCAGGCAGGCAGACTCTCGCCTGATTTCCATGTGGCTCCTTGTGTGGCGCAGGCAGCCAAAAGCAGTTGGCAGGGCTTGGGACAGCTTGCTCCCCCCCCCCCCCCGGCCCCCGCAATGCCAGGCCCCTCGAGGAGATGATGGATCTGCAGGCCAGGAGGCACAGAGCCTTCCATTCTAATAAGCGCTCTGCAAGAGAACTCACAGGCTTCTTGCCTTTGAGATCCATCTCAGAAATCACACTTTTTGGCTACCAAGCTACTAAATATGAAACGGATTTTTTAAAAATATATTTTATTGATTTTTTACAGAGAGGAAGGGAGAGAGAGAGAGTTAGAAATATCGAGACTGAGGTGATGGAGGTGATGGCGGTGATGGAAGTGACGGCGGTGATGGCGGGGATGCCAGGGATGGTGGTGATGGCTGTGATGGTGATGGCGGTGACCGCAGGGACGCGGGTGTGTGTGTGTGTGTGTGTGTGTGTGTGTGTAAGCGGGATCAGCATCAGAGGCTGATGATGGAGCTGCAGCCAGGAAGGGTTTCTGAGTCCTCCTGGCCCCGAAAACAAAGCGCTGGGGCCGGAAGAGGCGTCAGCGGAGAAGGTGCAGGGGCTGCCGGCCGGCCACACTCCCAGCAGCCCGGCCCGCTGTCCCGCGGGCACCCTCACTGCGCCAGGAGGGCCCCGAGACCCAGTCCAGGTCCTCCCTTTGCAGGACTCTGCCTGTGCCGGAGGGGCGGGGCCTGTGCCATAGGGGAGGGGCCTGTGCCAGAGGGGAGGGGCCTTGTCAGAGGGGGAGGGCCTGTGCCAGGGGCGGGGCCTGTGCTGGAGGGCAGGGGCTTGCCAGAGGGGCGGGGCCTGTGCCAGAGGGGGCGGGGCCTGTGCCAGAGGGGGAGGGCCTGTGCCAGAGGGGGGGCCTGTGCCTGAGGGGCGGGGCCTGTGCCATAGGGGGAGGGGCCTGTGCCAGAGGGGCGGGGCCTGTGCCAGAAGGGAAGGGCCTGTGCCGGAGGGGAGCTGGCCTTGTAGCATGTGCCAGGGTCCAAGCACTTGGGCTCAGAAGGCAGCCAGGTGCCCCGGTGCGGCTGCCGGGCCCAGGCGGCCTGTGGGGGCATGCGGCTGGTTCCTCCCGCCTAGGGCAGGTGAGGCTCAGCAAGAGGCTTCTGGGAGATGACCCTGACTTCCTCTCCCTCCAGGTAAGAACCAGTAAGTGCCTGGCATTGGGAGGGTACTGGGCACACAGGGGGAACAGAAGACCCGCTTCCCGGAGCCCGTAGTGCCCACCGAGGCTGCCAGGTGCACCCACATGACCTCACAGCGGCAACAGACACACAGCCAGTCGTGACAGAAAGGCTGGGACTCGCACCCGGGTCCAGGGCAGTGCTCAGAGCCAGGTGGGCCGCCGCCTGGGCCCAAGACGCAAGCCTGTGGGGAGGATGCACACCCTGGGGTTCACCCAAATCCCCCAGCTCGGGGGCTAGGCCAGTGGTCATGCCTCGCACATACATTCTCTCACCTGACTCTCAAACATGCCTGTGAGAGGGTGTTCTCATTCCCATGGACGGATGAGGAAACTGAGGCAGAGAGGCTAAGAAGGGGGGCGGGGGGCTCTTACCTGGGGCTCCTGGGGTGCTGGGGGAGTCCTCGCTGAGGGCTGGCTGGGGCCTCACCTGGGCCTCTCCACCTGCCATCTGCCCACCGGCCGAGTCGTCCTCGCATCGCAGCTCAGACTTCACCTGCTGGCCCTCCGCAGCCGCACCCAGATCAGGGCCCAGCTTCAGAGTTCTGTCCACCACGCCCATCAGACCTGAGTCCGTTTGTTTGTCAATTGGTTATTTTGGAGTTTGAGGATGAAAATGACGCCCGCTGAGGGCTGATGATGATGGCGGTGCAGCCTGCGGCAGTCGGTGCCCACGGAGTCTAGCTTCAGCTCCGACAGTCACATGGAAGCCAAGATCACCCGGGGAGGCCCTAGCTGGTGCGGCTCAGAGGACAGAGCGTCGGCCTGCGGACGGAAAGGTCCTGGGTTTGATTCCGGTCAAGGGCACGGGCCTGGTTTGTTGGCCCGGGCAGCCAACTGATGATTCTCTCTCATTGATATTTCCGTCTCTCTCTCCCTTTCCCTTCCTCTCTGAAAGCAATAAAAAGTATATTTTTTAAAAAGATTAGCCTGGGAAAACACACAAAAGCTCTCCCTTTCTCCACCTGCATGACCTGGAGCAAGTCACCTGACCTGGTGACTGACCAGCCAGCCGCACTGCGGGCCGGTGGTGGGAGGGGGGCATGGAGCCAGGCCCAGGACACTCGGCAGCCTCACAGCCACGGCCCACATGCTGTCGAACCACCTGCACGGCCTTCTCCAGAGCGCCCCGCTTCCTGCACGCCCCCATCCTTGCTGGGCCACCACATGCTGTGCAGCGTGGTCTTCACACACCCCCTCGGCCAGGCCTCCCGTCCCCGTTGCTGGAAGGGGGTTCCGCTGGCTGGCCCATGTATGGGTCCATGTATGGGACACTCCCAGACCAGCAGCTGCAGGTCCACGTGGACACGACCTGCGCTGAGGTGATCACGTTCTAGACCTCAGGACTCCCTGAGCAGGAGCCCAAGAGCAGTGGCAAAATGACGCCTCTTCCACCCGCCCCAGCGCCCTTTGGAGCAGTTCCCGATGTGGTCACCAGATGGCAGCACAGGCAGGCCTCTGGGGCAGGGTGTCCGGTGCCGGTCTGTCCTGGGACCCAGAGGCTGTCAGTTCCCCACCTTCCACCGTGAGCTGCTTGGGGCAGGACGCTCATCTGATTTCCTCTGAGCCCCAAGAGTTAGGAAACGAATGTTTGAACCTCTCTGCAACCTCACAGTAAGTACAATGATCCCCGTCTTACAGGTCGGCATGGTAAGGCTAAGAGCAAGAAAGTGACTTGCCCAAGGTCACAGCCAATGAAAATCAGGACATACTGCTTTAAATTTTAATGCAGAAAACTTCACATATACAAACCTCCACAGTATCCATCATCCAGCTGAACCACTATCAACATTTTTCCACTTGTGTTTCTCCGTACTCATTTTTGGTTTTTACTAGAATATTTAAAGTAAACTCCAGACAGTGTGGAAATTCACTGTGATTATTTTCAATTTTACCTCTAAACGATTAGGACTTTTTTTTTCGTAATCAGCTATCTCTTCCTAACCAAAGTAGCAATAACTCATTACTATCTAATACTGTTTATATCCACATTTCCCCACGGGCTCACATATCTTTTTTAGTTGGTTTGTTCCATCCTGATCCAAATGAGGTCCACACGTCCCATTCAATTATGTCTTTGAGCTCTTTACTCCCAAACAGCCCTAATTCCTCTTTTATCTCCAAGCCCTTCATTAACAACTAGTGTTTTCCCTCAGAACATCCTGAATTCCGTGTTTGGCTGTTTGCCGTCTCCCACGGGTGGCACGGGGCCTGCCCGGCACGCAGTGGGTGTTCATTCAACATTATGAATACTTAAGGGGGAGCAAAGTGAAGGATAGAGGCCTGGTCCTCAGAAATGCGAAAAGCGGCGGCCCTCTACCTGGGAGAAACCACAGGCTCCAGCCCTCGGGTCTTGGGGAGACCACGGCTCCAGCCCTCGGATCTTGGGGAGACCACGGCTCCAGCCCTCGGATCTTGGGGAGACCACGGCTCCAGCCCTCGGATCTTGGGGAGACCACGGCTCCAGCCCTCGGATCTTGGGGAGACCACGGCTCCAGCCCTCGGATCTTGGGGAGACCACGGCTCCAGCCCTCGGATCTTGGGGAGACCACGGCTCCAGCCCTCGGGTCTTGGGGAGACCACGGCTCCAGCCCTCGGGTCTTGGGGAGACCACGGCTCCAGCCCTCGGGTCTTGGGGAGACCACGGCTCCAGCCCTCGGGTCTTGGGAAGACCACGGCTCCAGCCCTCGGATCTCGCAGAGGACTGCAGGCAGGCAGCACTGAGCAGGTGCATTTGGGGGCGCCTTTGGCCCCCACCAGCATTCCATCAACACTGGGCGCTTTGCGCCCGGCACCGCGCCAGGAGCTGGGCGGCAGGGAAAGAGGCCAAACGCCCGCCCCGCCCCGCCCCCAAACTGTCTCCAAGAGCAAAGAGCCAAACGGGGTGTTAGTGAGGAAAAGCGGCCCGAAAACCGCCAGCGCCCCTAACCGCGTGCGCACTTCCGGTGCCTCTTTCCCGCCCCCCCAAGCTTCCTCCCCATTGGTGTTTCCCTTGACCACGCCCCGCCCACGGAGGCTCTCCTCCCACCGTTTCCTTGAACTTTCCCCTCCCCTTGTCCTGGGGCTTGGGAAGCCCTCCGACCCCGCCCGCCCACCGGGACCCACGACTATTGGTGACTCTCGTCCGTCCATCAGAAGAAATATGGTCGCCAATTGGCTGAAAGAAAGTAGCCGGCACAGAGTCTGCGCGAGTTGCTTGGGCCCCGGAGGGGGCGGGCCGGCGGCCCCCGCGCATGCGCGGTGCGTGCGCAGTGCCGTCGCGGGTGGCAGTCATGGCGGCTCGGTGCGTGAGGCTGGTGCGGCGCAGCCTGCCGGCTTTGGCGTTCTCTCTTAGGTAAGGGGCGCCCGGCTGCCCTGGGCTGGAGGGCGCGGCCCTCGGTGCCGTCCTGCCGAGTCTGGTCCGGGAACGGGCCGTCGTGGGCCGCGGGCGCCCGCGCGGGCCTGGAGAGTGGAAGGGACGGCGCGCCGGGTGCCGAGGCCCGCGCTGACCCCGCGCGCACGCACGCGGCTCCGGGCCGGTGGCAGCCCGCGCGCCCGGCACCGGCCGCCGCAGCCGCGGGCCGGGCCGGCAGGGCCGCCGGCAGCACCGGGCGCGCCCTGAGCCGGTCGCCGTGGGCGGAGAGCTTTGTGGACTCGGCGCTCGGGTCAGCGGTTCACGGGCATTTTCCGCGGCCCGTGTTCCCGCGCCGCCTCCCCTTTCCGGAGTCCGAGGTCAGAAGTGCGGGGAGCCCGGCCCCCGTGAGCTTAGCGTTTGGAGCGTAGACAGCAGTGACCTCACAGTGCGGGCCCCGGAGCTCCCGCCCTGCGGTGATGAAAGGGTTTGCGGCGTGATTGCTGCCCGCAAATGGTGTAAACGGCACGGGACAGCGGCAGCGGCCCGCCCGGAGCACCTGACGGAGAGGTTGTACCCGGAATTGGTTGCCCGGAAAGGCAGGGCCAGTCGCATTAATTTCTGTGACAAGAGGCTCAAACCGGGGAGCCGGGAGAGCTGAACGGCACTCAGATCTCTTGGGGCGGCTGGACTCTCGGGGACTCCGTTTCCCTCTCGGCACCTCCTGCTGGCAGCGCCCCGGGCAGGGAAGCGGAGGGCAGAACAACTAGAACAGGTTTCACAGCAGCACGCTCCAGCTTAGGATTATTCGTTTCTTTAAGTCACAGAAATAAAAACACAGTAAGAAGGTACTGCTCTCCACCCGCCAGCAGCCTGCGGGCCCCTCACTTCTCCGCCCGGACCACACGCACACAGGGTGTGGGTCCGATGTCCACAGGGCGGTGGTGGTTGTGGCATTTCCCGCACTGACAGCTCCTGTTCGCCAGGCCTTGCCTCTGTTCTGGAAGAAAGTGGAACGGAGCCCCTCCTCAGATGGGACCCGCGGGTCCTGGTGACGAGATCTGGGATTTAAGACTTGTCACTTACTCATGGCTTTGTGACCTTGGGCTTAATTATTTAACCTTCTGGACTCCGGGACCAGACTGGATCGTGTTAAGTCACTTCTACCTCCAGGGTCCGTTCTTTGTTTTTCCCTGTGCATCCCCCATGTCCTGGCCAAGCAGTTCCCTCTTCCTGACATGGGTCTGCAGACCACTCTGACTCTATGTGTAACTTCTAAGTTAATTTTAAAGAGGCAGGGGTTGCGGGGAGGCAGAGAGAGAGAGAAACATCGATTGGTTGCCTCCCATTAGTGCCCCACCAGGCTGGGAATCGGGACCAAACCTGCCACCTGTCGGCATACGGAATGACGCTCCAACCCACCGAGCCACTGGCCGGCCTTACCTGTAACTCTTAGCCGTCCTTCCAGGTCCCTCTGCATGAAGCCTTTCATTTTCCATTCTCCAAAGCTAAGAAGTATCCTATGCTCAGCCTTCCAGAGCCTCCCCTTTTATCACTTTTAGACACAAAATTATAGTTCCGTGCATATAGATCTCTTTTGCGTGACATGAGTGCCCTGTGGCAGGATCTCTGCCCCGAGCACCTTGGTGGTCAGCGTCGGCTCTGGGCCCCACGTCTGCCAATAGCCGCCCCACCAGTGCTGGTGGGGCCTGGAGGACGAACGTGCTCGGGACAGGAGAGGAGCTGGCAGGTCGCCTGGAGACACATTCGTACTGTTTACAAATAGTTTGTGTACATCATATGCAAGGAGAATCCTTTCTCCCCCAGCAAGTCACTGGCAGGTAGTCTGAAGTTACCTCGGATGGAAAGCCCTTACCTCTGCCTTGCATGCGCTTCCCCAGGCCCACGCCTCGGCTGCTGTGCACAGCTGCAAAGCAGAAGAACAATGGCCAGAACCTGGAAGAGGACGTGGGTCAGACGGACCAGAAGACGGACGCGCCCTGTGCAGAGAAGACGCTCACGGAGGAGAAGGCCAAGCTAGAGGAGCAGCTGAAGGACACGATGGTAAGGCCACAGGCTCTTAGGGAAGGTGGTTGGCTGAGCGCCAGGCGAGTTCATAATTCGTCCCAGGACTTCGGCTGGGGCCTGCAGCATGCTCCTGCTAGAGAAGGGACTGGAACCCAAGTCCCGCACGGCTCTGGCTCTGCCATGAGACTCGCCGTTACGTGCTACGTAGATTGCATTGAGCTAAGATTTCAGTTGGTCTTTACAGACGAGGAACACCAGCATGGCTGTCTGAGCTGGGTCTGAGGGGAGGCAGCGGTTTGTGAACTCGGCAGTAAGGTGGATGCATAGTCCGTTTCTTCAGGATTAAGAATGGCAATACCAGACAGGTGGGTGCTGACACTGTTCCAGCGCCTTTATGTATACTGATCCTCACAGACCCTGTTTACAGATGAGGAAACTGAGGCACATGACAGTTACGTAAACTTCCTAAGATCGCCTCGCTGCTGAGTGCAGAGCCAGGGTTTGAGCTTGGAGACCTGGCTCTTGGCCATTGCACTGGACCTGCCTGAACAAAGATTGGAAACAGGTTGTAGTGGCTCCCCGGCTCCCCAGAGTAATCCAGTCACTTCAGAAATTGAATTGATTGAGGCAAAATGTGAGATTACAGTCAAGTGGTGAGACAGGACGATCCCATAATTCAGATGCTTACACGCAGCAAGTGTCCGCCAGGCCTATGGGAACCCGTGGGTCAGCCCCTGTGAGGCTGCTGGGCGCCCCTAAGTTGGGAACTCGGTTAAGGAAGTGAATGGTCCTTCCTGGGTGCTGAGGCCGTCAGGGCCTGAGAAAGTCGCTTTTCTCTCTCTCCCCACAGCGGGCCGCTGAGTGAGAATGGCCGTGGAGATACATAAGTATCTGTCACCTTGCCATCGACTCCCCGCTCGCTGGAAGGTGACGCGGGGGTGACTTTTTCTGAGTTAAGCTGCACTGTCTGTAGTCCAAAGCCTCAGACATGACAATAGGTGTTGTCTGTGTTTTGACTTGCGGTTGGTCGTGTCAGATTTGCTTTCCTATGAATTTGTGCTATGCTTTATTCATATTAGTTTCCTTTTCCATTTTTTAGGAAAAATATAAGCGAGCTTTGGCAGATACCGAGAACTTGCGGCAGAGGACCCAAAAATTGGTGGAGGAGGCAAAATTATACGGTAACTTTCACCATTGTGATACTGACCTGGGAAATAGGGTTTGGAGGGCAGGGTGGGTGGTATGGATGTTCCCACAGCAAGGTCAGCGGGGGGAGCTGCAGGCTGTCCTCTCCCCTGCCCCCTTTAAGGAGACACTTGGAATTGTGACTGGTGCTTGAGTCGTAAGCAGGAGGCTTCCTCGCTCCACGTGGAGCCTCGGTGTGGGCCCGCGGGTAATCGCGGCAGGTCAGCCTCTCTGGTGCCGTTTCCTTGGCATCACCAGCAACCACGTTGGTACCACGTAAGATCTCAGAGGCTGTCGGTTGTCACCTTTGAGTATGTCCCTGTCCTTCCCACTTTACAGTTGAGATCATTGAGGCTTCGTGACCTGCCACTCATCACAAAGCTGGCGGCGGCCCTTGGGCTCCCACTTGCTGTCTTACTAGCCCGAGGCCGCCCTGGCTCCCGCAGGCGGGGCCTGGGTGGAAGCAGGCACCAGTTTGGGTGCTCGCCATGCCTTCCAGTCGGCATCGGAGCCTTTTCTTTGAAACCACAAACATTGTGTAACACACTGCCTTGAATTTCGAGTGACCCTTCTAACATTCTGTCTCCTGTTAGATTAGGGGTGTCGAACTCAATCAGACAAGGGGCCAAAATCTAAAATTCAGCCTAAATCGCGGGCCGAATGGTTTACTGAACAGTCATAAACTGTCATTGTGATGGAAACGCAGCGGAGTGCAGTGATGACAGCGCGGTTCGGGCCACATTGCAAGGCCTGGCGGGACGGATTTGGCCCGCGGGCCTTGTGTTTGACACATGTGTGTTAGATGAAGGCGAAGTCTTGGTAACTCTTACCCCACAGTGCCCGGAAGTTACTAACATTGAATACACGTAGTGTGCCAGGCACTCAAGCATACATGGCTCTATCGGTCCTCCTACCATCACTGGGAGGCAGGACCGTCCCGCTTTACAACTGAAGGGCTGAGACCCAGCGAGGCTGACTGCTAAGTCACTGTGACGTGCCCCAGGCCGTGCTGTCTGCGCAGGCGGGGCAGGGCGGGGCGGTCTGCGGAGCAGGCAGTTTCTCAGGGCTGGAGCAGGGGCGGGGGTGGTTCTGCACATTTCCAGCTGCTGGTCTTCACACCTCAGTAGCTCTTGTCCAAACCCAGAACAGGCTTTGGGGTTCGTATTTGTCAGGCGGGCCATGGAGGTTGGTTTGGAGTGGCCGCTCGGTTGACATGGTGGAATGCAGATGTTCTTCTCGGACTCTGTGCAGGCATCCAGGGCTTCTGCAAGGACTTGCTGGAGGTCGCAGACATCCTGGAGAAGGCCACGCAGAGCGTTCCCAAGGAGGAGGTCACAGAGGACAACCCGCACCTGAAGAACCTCTATGAGGGGCTGGTCATGACCGAGGTCCAGATCCAGAAGGTGTTCACCAAGCACGGCCTGCTCCGGCTGGACCCCCTGGGCGCCAAGTTCGACCCCTATGAGCACGAGGCCTTGTTCCACACGCCGGTGGAGGGCAGGGAGCCGGGCACGGTGGCGCTGGTGAACAAAGTGGGCTACAAGCTGCACGGGCGCACCCTGCGGCCCGCCCTGGTCGGGGTAGTGAAGGAAGCCTAGCTTCCCCCAGGCTCGGTGGGTTGTGGGTAATCACTGGCTGTAACTCCTAAGGGCTGGTTCGTCTGTGAATACTCCAAACCTTGTTGGAAAGCTTTAGTAACCAGCGGCTAACCAGGAAATAGGGCCCATTGCTCAGCTGTTACTGGACTCTAATTTGGGAGCCTGTTTATTGATTTTCAATACACGTTTGATAGTTCACATGCTTACAGAGCAGGACACCACTGGGCCCTCGGGTATCGTGAATAATGCTACATCTGCTCAGTCTGATGACACCAAAGGATTTAAAACGAATAAAAGGTCTCCGGGAATTGTGCTGTTGGGTAGCGGGCCACGCCGCCTGCCCTGTGCGCCTTCTGCTTCTCACTGTCCGTGCGTGTCAGCAGGTCTCAGCCCTCTGCACCTCATTCAGGCAGGAAAGGCAGCTTACCTTGGTTCTTGCTCAGAAAACTTACGTGTTTGGTGGAGGACATTGTGAGTCCACCTGTAATCGCCATCCAGCTGCTCCGTGACCGACTTCTGGCTTTTCTTTGGAGGCACCTTAACAGTTCTCCCTGCTCCCCCAGAATAAGACGGATTTGACGACATCACTTACTCTTGTCCTATTTTGTTCAAGTACGTGCAGAAATGTTTCTCTCATACTCAGCTAGGTACTAGTGACCTGAAGGTATGTCCCTAGTAAGATGGTCTTTCTCAAAACCTGAGGGCTGCATGCTTGGTAAATTTTAAATGTCATTTAGTTTTTAAATTTTATTTGAGGATTAAAGCCCGATGTTTATTTTCCTACTTTCTGATAAGTCTCTTGTGTACCTTGGTGGCAATCCTTACTAAGGAGAGCATGACTGGGGTGTGTACCTGACACACGCGCAGGCACGTGCTTGCTCCCATCCGTGCACCGCAGGCTGGCGTGGGCCTGGCCTGGCCTGCTCCGGGCGGACTATGGTGTCTGCCTGAGGACCATGACAGGACCACACACCCACAGCAGGACAGTCTGCGGACGCTGGCCTGGACTCACCACAGGCCCGGCGTGTCTGTTAGGAACGAAAACAGCCGCCCCTGCCTTGGCCTAAAGGGTGCAGGGAAAACGGGGCAATTTTACTGGGCTGGTGATTTTGAAGAGGTACTATTCCCATGATGAAAATTTCAATATACAATTTCAAACACTTTTCTTGAGCTGTGAGTGCCCCTCCCCTCCTGCACTCGCCGGGGAAGCTGTGCAGGAGTCATTTCAGACCACGCCTGTGAGGGCAGCCCCCTCCCTGCAGAGCCACGGCTGCTGAAGGCACATGGGCACCCAGCGCCTCACTAGCCCCAGCCACGGGCTCCCTGCGGGGAGAGCACCAGCACGCCCAGCACATCCTCCTGAGGCCAGGGTCCTGAGGCTTGGGGGAAACCACGTACAGTGGAGCCAGTTTTACCTTAGGCCAATGGGTACAAATGAGCGAGATAAAATGTACCTCAACATCGTACAGCACGTCTGAGCACCTGCCATCCGGATTTACACTAGAAATTAGTGGTTGGCCATCCACGCTGCTGAGCTTGGCCAGTGCAACCTGGAGACATGTACAGTGTAGACAATCCAGGCCGCACTCGGCCTACGTGGACACGCCTTTCCTGGTGCCCTTCAGGGAGCAGGGCTGGCATGAGGTTTCCTGCTTAACGGTAGCAAGTCTGAGTCTTAAGCAGCTGGTCTGACAGAAGTGCCTGTGCTGCCCCCTCCCACACCCCCTGCCCCCGGAGGGTGGCCTCAGGCTTTGGAGCAGGTGCCAAGAAGCAGTCAGGGACATGCGTTTGTTCTCAACTTGTTTAATAAGTAAAGGGCAGTAGAAACGGTCAGGTCGGCTTTAACGCATTCTTGGAACGCTGCATCCAGAGGATTCCGAATAGCCGAGTACAGAACTGGACTCAAAGGTTGGAGTTTAAATTTTGAAGACCTAATTCTTGGGATTGTGGTCACTAACTTAGGAAATTAAATAGACATGTAAAGGCTCTGCGCTCACAGCAGGGGTAAAGACTGGCAACGGGAGGGAGTGGATGGGATAAAGGCAACCAATCCGAAAGTCCCTTTCCCCTGGTAACCAAGGTAACACTTTAACATAAATTATACATTCATCATGGTGTTTAAAACAGCCAAGCCTAAATAAGTTCTTCACGCCATCAAGAGAGGCACCCTCAAACCTCCAGCACCACGTGTTCACTTGGCAGCTGTCCACCGGCCACAGCTATTTATTGGGCGCCTGCCTCCCAGTTACTGAAGCCGGCAGCCCTTATAGGAAAACAGGACTACATACGAGGCATGTGACAGGAACCCATGCGTGACACCAGCTCAGCTACAGCCAGGCCACCTGGAGGCTGGGCCAAAGGCCTCCAGGGGCCCGGGCCTGGGGGCTGGTGCTGCTGGGTCCAGGAACCCTGGGCAAGGGCCTCCGGCTGAGAGGCTGTGAGGAAGCACTGCCTCCCTGCATGCCAGTGGCGGCAACACCAGCTCCACGGAGGGCAGTTACGAGCAGGGCAGAGGAGGTGACCCTCACCCTTATCTCCACCGCTCACACTTGTCAGCAGCAGTCCTGGCTTAGAGCGAGGAGCCTCTGCCCACACACACACTGAGCTGTTCGGTTAATGCTGAGCTGACCCTAGGGGACAGGAGATGTAAGAAAGGGAAAGGCACCATAATTAGGTCATCCTTGGAAATGATAAGGGACTTTTTCAAACTTCCCTGTAATGTAACGTCAAGCCCACACATTCTGAGGTCATGGCTCCATCACTGCAGTCACCACTGACCCTAAGCAGGGTCTTGGACCTGAGAACCCTGAGCAGCCTGGAAGACAAATGGCCACCAAGTGCCGGAGGGAGGTACCATGTCAGAGGCCCTGAGAAAGCCTGTGAGGCGCTGGCAGAGCATGGGGAGTCTGGTTCAGAGAGTGACTCAGCAGCAACACAAGGGCCTTGGGACCCACGGCCACAGGGGCCGGCCCATGGCGCCTGGCTGGTCTCCAGGGCGCAAGGCCACCTGAAGGTTAGATGTTAGCCAGGCTGGTCTGGTCAGGGTTTCAGTGAAAAGGTACTTGCAGCTGTGACGAACACCTTGGAGGACACTAACACCAGGACACAACAGCCATGAACTCCCTAAAACAAGGTTTTGCAAGTAAAATGCACGCAAGTCCAAAGGGCAGCCAGCAGCTGCCCCCAGGAAGGGTCAGTCCTGGCCATCGCACTGGTCTTGGCTGCCATGCTCCCCACAGCCACTCTCCACACTAGGGGGCGCTGCCCAGAGGTGCAAAAGGGGCTGTTTCGGGCCTGGGAACTGCAAACCCACACCCTGCCATTGCCACTGCCACAGCTAAGGGGAAGCTCATTTGGTCTGTTCACTACCAGCCTCTTCTCACGGTCCAAGGAAGCCTGACCCTGCCCGCTGGCCTCACTGCCCACCTGCCCGGCGCCATCTAAAGTGCCCCATGCTGCAGCCATGTCACCAGGCAGGCCTGGCAGCCGGCGGCCAGCACAGGTGAGCCCAGGGAAGGGGCTCCCCGGACGCTCCCACCATCACATCCTCCTCACTGAGCACTCAGGCGCGTCCCCGCCCTCGGAACGCGCTGCTCTAGGACCAAGGTTCACTGTGCCTGATCAGTCCCTCCTGCCTGGTCTCGGATGGTTACTCTTGCTTCCTCCAGAGGACCACGAGAACTTACACCCTAAACAAAGGAACTCAATTTGCTGAAAAACAACGGGAAAAAGCGGAGCTGTCCCCTCCCCCTGCCCCAGTCATCTGGCTCACAGGCGCTCCGCTCCGCCGGCCTCAGGAGGCGTCCCTGGCTATCCACCCGCTCTCCGTGAGGAAGGTCAGGATCCGTTTCTTGAGGACCTTGTCCAAGTAGCTGGGCAGGCGGCTCTTGGAGGGGATGCCCTGGCGCTTCTGGAGGTGGTCTTTGATGATGATGGTCTTGGCGGTCACGTAGCGCGCCGGGCTCAGGTTCAGGGAGCTGCAGAGCGCCTTCTCGCGGTCCGACAGCAGCTCGAAGCCCGGCAGGTTCTCGATGGCGGCGAACTCGCCGTCCTTGGCGTCCTCCCGCCCGCGCTTGGCGCCCGCCGAGTTCCGGTTCTCCTTGCGCTTCTCCCGCTTGTGCCGCGCCGCCTCGTACTCGGCCGACTCCTCCATCTTGGTGATGCCGTTGCGCCGGTAGCGCTGCAGCTCCCGGATCTTGGCGCGCAGCATCTTCTCCTTGTGCATGTTCTCGAACAGGTCGTCGAACTCCTTGCAGGACATGAACTGGTAGAGCGGCCGCAGCTTCAGCCGCAGCTCGCGCTCCTCCTTGGTGATCTTGCGCTTGGCCGCCTTCTCGCGCTCCCTCTTGTCCTTGCCCAGGAAGGCGGGCACCAGGCTGTAGTCGCGTGCGATGTCCTTGCGCCGCTGCCTCTCCCGGAGCTTCCGCACGTACATGTCCACGTGCGCGCGCTTGAGCTCGATCTCCACGTCCTCGTCGTCGTAGTTGACCGAGAGCCCGCTGACGAGCGCCTCGGCGTCCTGGTCGTACTCGACCTCGTAGTCGTCACGCAGCGGCATGTAGCCCAGCTGCTGCTGCTCGGCCACCGAGATGTCTAGGGGAGGCAAGGGGGTGGTGAGGCTGGGAGAGAGGGGGCCTCCACTGGGGCAGGTGTGGTCGGTCACCCGGTTGGGGATGGTGTCGGGGATGCAGGCCTTCCCCAGGTTGCCGTGGATGTACATGCTTACGTAATGCTCCATCACTTCCTGGGGAGTCCGGGAAGCGCCTACGTGAGCAGCCATGTCTTCCTACAACAACAAAGGTCAGAGTCATTTCCAAAGCCGAGGGTCGGACTCAGTTCCCACAATCCCCTCAGCATTTCCCCAAGGCAACCTGGACGGCCCTGGCCCGTCACCACCCCCCAAAGCAGTCCCCACCTTCGCTGGACAGCGCATCCAGAGGTGCGGGCTCTCGCCCAGCTCAGCGGGCCGCCCTCTGAGATCCGCACTGGCCGCCTGCTTCCTGAAAGGACCAGCAGGCCCGCCTGGTGCTGGCATTTTGCCTGTTAACCCTGCCTCGGGTGGGAGGCTGTGAGAGGACCTGAGTGCCCCGCCTCCTCCCAGTCTAACCTCTCCACACCCAGACCAGAGAACAGAACGGTCCAGAGTTCACGGCCCAGGTCCCCTGATTACACGAGGGCCCCCATTCGACGCGAGTCTGCCTCTGGACACAGAAGGGCCAGCCTCTGTGCTGACACACCGCGTCCCTCCCCGGGCAGTGGGTGGGTGAGTAGGTAAACGGGGTGGGGTTTCCGTACTCCATCCTCAGCAGCTCTCTGGAAGGCTGCGGCTGCAGGCACTGCCTGGGCGAGGTGCACAGGCGGCTTATTGATGGGAGGAAATTGTACAGCTCCCTCAACCTTTTCCTCCTGCCAAGAGACCTCTTCCTTAACCCAACCGCTAAAGCCACTTCAAAACAACTGCCCACATGCGCACTCATCCCCAGCAGCCACTCCGCGGCGCCTCCACCTGCCCTGTGACACACTGCCTTCCACCAGCAACGCTCACCCCGCAACACTGGGGCGGTTCTGTACCCCAATGGCCACACTGGAACCCAGGGAACCAGCCGGCCCATGTGGCTGGCCGATGACAAGGCGGGCACAGCGAAGAGGGAAGGACTTGTGTGAGGAGACCAGACCCTAGAGCTGAGGCCCAAGTCAGGGCCCACGGCTGCAGGCCCTCCTCCCACCGGCGCTGTGGGCCGAGGGCGGGCTTACGACACAGGAACCGAGATGGCGATGCCGGGACCTGCCAGCGAAAGGGGAAGAGCTGAGCTCGAGCCGTCCTGGTCTTAGGGGTGAGCAGTTTCTTCTTTAAGAAGTCACCGGGAGCCTCAAATCTGTTCCTGATATTTTCCCAGGAAGCTCTTGGTCCAAAAAGAAAAACCAAACCACAGCGGGATATCCCCCATCCCTGCCACTCTGATCCGGCTGGCACGTCCCACCTCTGACTGCCCAGCATGGCGGTGGCCACAGGCAGGGCGAGCCCAGCCCTTCAGCTTCTCCTCGGCGCAGCCGCGGCAAATCAAGGACACGGTTTCCAGGGCCTCCCGGGCAAGGAAGCTGGGTGCCGCTTCCGGGAGGCTCGGAGGGGCTGGGCTGCGGCGAACCTCATTGCCTGTCAGGAATTCAGGCCTGGCCTCGCCCCCTCACGGGCCCAGTGAGGCCTGCAATGCAGTGCCAGCTGCGCCCCCCACGAGCCTGCCGCTCACCCTGAACCTCAGCATCGGCAATCTGCCTCGGGGAGCTGTCAGCAGCTCAAGCACCACATCTGGGTGAAACAAACCCGGAAAGAACAGAGGCTTCTGACCTATCAGGGGGTACTGACCTCACCGAGATCACTTTTCCCATTTATTTCCATCAACTCCGACCCTCCGGGAGCAGGCGCAGGGCAGGCCCCCGCAGGGCCGGGGATGCGTGGGCCGTGGGGCACCCGTCCCCTCCAAGTGCTCCCCAGGGTCCCTGCGCCGGGCAGCAGCAGGGCCAGCCGTGGGCACTGTGCGGTGGGCGCTGTGCGGACACTCGGCTGCTTTCGGTTACAGAGAGGAGGCTCCATCTGAAGCCACAATCAGAGGGACAGGAGCCAGGCTCCCATCACGGCAGCCTCAGCCTCTGCCTGGGACAGCTAAGCCTCATGGGAGCCAGGGCTCAGCGACTTGTGAACGACAGCGGCCCTCCGGCACCACGCCCTGAAGGGTCAGACGGGAAAGCACACAGACCGATCTTCCAGTCTGTCCCCACGTCCAACGCCAGGACAGCCGGCTCTGAGGGTCCAGGGCGTGAGGTCCACCGGAGGGCGGTGTCCGACATGGCTAACGAGCACAGCTTCGGCCGCCACCGCGAGCAGCCATCGCGGACAGTCCCAACGCGCTCCCATCTTCTCCCCGTGGTCACAGACCTGTCCTGTCCCCGCACTGGGCAGCACTCCGGACAGCACAGAGCCCTGGGGCGGTCCTCCCCCTCACGTGTGCCAAGGCCAAAGTGTTTGTCTGATCCGGATGGATGGATGGGGACGCAGAAGCAACAGAACTTTACTTGGGGGAATGAGATTTGGTGAGAAAGTTCAACTCAAGTACAACTAAAGCAGGAAACACACTGTCAGGAGGTGGGGGACCCCCCCCCCCCAGCATGCAGTGACAGCGGGTACGCAGCCCAAAGCCTATGGAAACGGGTTCCAGGTTTGTTTTCCCTTCATGTTCTCTTAAAAGAAAAGAAGACTCCCACCTTTGGAAATAGGTGTGCTACTGCTCCAAGTCCTGGGGGAGGGTACGGTGTCTCTGAGACACACGAGGCCAGCGCTCCTGTCCACGGCCCTGGACTCTGGCCAGGACGCTGCCTCCAGGAGAGGAAGTGAGCAGTGCTGGGGCCTGGGCTCCTCCTGCCTCCCACGGCCCCCTCATGCTGGCCCCCAGCACCTGACCAGGAAAAGGACGAGAACGGTCCGGAGAAATGGTCGTCAGTGTGGGGCGGCGGCTCCATCAGTGGGGGCTCAGGGTTCCCTGCTCCAGGCTCTGGCCAGGGCCACTGCCACCCAGGACTCCACGGGCCCAGCCTCTGTGGCTCCCTCAGCGACAGGCCTCTCACCGGGGTGGCACAGTCCAGGGTGAAATGTAGAAGCACAGGGAAGGCCGACACAGCCTTTCCTGAAAGCTGGACTTGGCCACTTAAAGGACGGCCTCGTCCTTACTATCTGGGCGTATTTAAGACCATCTTTTTTTTCTGTGACATGGTGATAGTTAATTGGCCTTTAAATTTTTTTAACATCCTTTCGTGGCGAACCCAACCTCAGCAATTTTCTCTCAGCATGAATGGCCCACAGAACCTGACGGCCTGGCAGTGCGCCCCGCCAGGGTCAGCCGCGCTCCTCCTGCCGTCCAGGGGCCTTGCAGACCCATCCCGCCCCTCCCTGCTGGAAAAGCCCTCTCTGTGCAAAGGCTCCGGACCCGCCTTTGGGGTTCCAGGCCTGGCTCCCCCAGGAGCTGACAACTGGACACAGCACTTCACCGCTCTGCGCCTCCGCCGCCTCCGAATTAGAGGCGCTGCACTTCCGGACGGTGAGGAGGGGAGTGCCGGCCTGCCTGTGAGCTGGCCGGTGCCCGGCGGGCCTGTGCTCCCTCCATGCCGCTTCTCCACAGCTCAGCCCCTCCTCCGGAAGCCGTCAGCGGCCCGGAGCTGGGCTCAGACCTGCGACAGCTTCCTCCTGTCACCTCTGCTCCTCCACGGGCAGGCCAGCTCCCTCAAAGGGCTGTCCCGCAGAATGCAAACCACGTGACAGCCCGGTTCCCGAGGGACTGCAGGCCCATGTCACCTGCCTCGTCCTAGCAGTTCCCCCGCGGGGGCAGCACAGCCACACACCCTGTAGGCCAGCAGGCTAAATCTAGGCTGAGGCCCAGGGCACCAGGCCGGTAGCTGCTGCCGTCCTCAGGCGGGCAGCGCTCAGAGCACGCCCGTCCGCCATCAGCGCCAATGCTGGTGACACAAGAGGAGGTCTGACCAACGTCCCGGTGCTGGAAGCCAGCAGAGCCAGGCCCAAGGGGCTGCTTCTGTCCGAACTAACACGCCCACGCCCGTCCCCGCCAGGCTGTCCGGCAAGGGCACCGTGGCACCTCCTTCTGCCCGGACAGAGGACCAGGTCGGTGTCCGCTCAGGCAAAGCGGCAGCTATCTTCACATCGGTTCTGCCCGGAGCACTCTGAACGCACAGCAACCCCCACCCCACACCCCTTCTCCGGGGGTCTGGGCTGGGAAGCCAGGCCGAGCAGCTTTAGCCCTCCTCCACCCCTGCTCTGCAGCCAGGCCTGGGGGGGGGGCAGTGGGGGTTTCCTTTAAGTGCAGCTGCATCGGGGGTGGAAGCCCGGAGCTGTGGCTCCCAGGCTCCAGGGCACACTGGGTGCAGAGGGGGCTGAGGGGGGCGGCGTGTCCTGAGGAGGGGGAGGGGCCGGTCCAGCTATGAGGGCGGAGGGAGGAGGCACTACCGCTCAGGACGGCCATGGTCCTGGGCAGCTGCGAGGCCATCAGATGGGGAGCCTTGGCGGGGGCACTGCCAAGATGACCCTCACCCCTTGGCTCATGTCCAGAGTGCTTGGTGTCCCACAGGCTGGCGACGCAGGCCCGGGGCTCCGTCTTGTCTGGCCTGGGCACCTCGCAGGCTCGCTTTGCGAGCAGGAGACCCGGAGGCCTTCCAGGGCGGTGCTGACAGACGCCACATCTGTCACGCCTCCGGTGTCCTTTCCAGCTGACCAAGTGCGGGCCAGGACACGGTGCCTGCCTGGGGGAGGGAGCTCTGGAAGGTGCAGCCTCGCTGTGCAAACAGCACACGGTCCTCAGCAAATCCAACAGAACTGCCACAGGCCCGCACCCCCGGGTGTTCCCCAAAAGCAGCGGCCGCAGGGCTCAGCAGACAGCTGTCCGCCGGGGTGGGCCTTTTCTTGCCCAGGGCGCTGGGTGTTTGTAACACAGTATCAGCTTAAGACTCAGCCTGCGGTGTTTGTCACACGGTAACTAGCTCACCCCGATGCCCTGGCAGGGCCAGACCACAGGATTCCGAGGGCCTTCTGTATACAGCCGCGGGCTGGACGTCCCCCACCCCTGCTGTGCGCCTACGTTCACGAGCTTTATTCACAACAGCCTAAGCGGAAGCACCCCAAGTGCCCGCCTCTGCGGGAATGGGCCGCACGGTCAACCCACCTCAGCAAGGAAGGAGAGTCTGGACCCACCCACGTGGTGAGCCTGGAGTATGTGCGATGAGCCGGCACAAGACAGCGCTGAGTGACGCCCGTGTGTGTGGCCCGAGAATCAGGCCGGGAGGGAGGAGCTGAAGGACAGTTCAGAGGTGACGTGGTGATGGCTGCCGCACTGTGAGTGCACCTAACGCCACGGACCTGCGCACCTCACAGGGCCACAATGGTGGCTTCCTGTTTATCTACTTTAGCACAATAAAAACAGACTTCAAAGATGAAACTGAACAGGAGATGGAAGAGGGCAGAGAAGGGATAACTGGTGATGAAAAATAACTTGATTTAAAACACGTAAAAGTAAAAAATGACTATACTGCTTCAGGCGCAGGCTGCCTTCCACCTGGCGGGCCCTGCAGTGGGCCCTGAGCCAGCAGCAGCAGCAGCCCCGGGAGAGAGGATGCACGAGCCAGGCCCTGCCAGACCGCTGCCCCACAAGCCCTCCAGGGTGTTGTGCGTCCTGCCCCGGCAGAGCCACTGCCCTGCACAACCCTCTTTCCCACGCTGCTCTCTCCCCAGGCTCTCCCTCCGTCTCCACCCCGACAGCAAGTCCTAACCACCGGCGATGCTGTGGAGCGGCCAGCGCACAGGGGCCTGCTCCGCAGTGTCGTGCTTCCAGGGACCAGCGGGGTCAGAGCTCCCTGGAAGCTTCTACAATTGCCGTTCCCAGACCTCAGAGATTCGATTCAGGGGCTGGGGTGCCCCTGGGAATCGCAGATCCTCAGGTGAGGGTGCTGCGCAGAGTCAGACCGGCGCCAATGCTTTCATGCTACAGCGGCCTCCTTTGTAAGCGAGGGACCAGGGGGCCTGGCTGGGAGTGAGCCGACGTCCAAGGCCCGGCTTAGAGCTGGTTCCGGCTCACAGATGCACTTGGGGTAACTCGGTGAATCAGCTTCAAATCCTCTTCCACCCGGTGGGCTGGTGCTCAGGATTTTCAAAATGGGACCCCACCCTCTCTTACCTACCTGTCCTGGCCCTCCACACACCAACCAGCCCCTGGGACAGGGCAGCCCCTTGTCCACACTCCCCTTCCCACCGAGGAAAGGGACACAGCTGCTCACAGTGTGACCGCACGCCGGGAAGGGACACAGCTGCTCACAGTGTGACCGCACCGCCGGGAAGGGACACAGCTGCTCACAGTGTGACCGCACCGCCGGGAAGGGACACAGCTGCTCACAGTGTGACCGCACCGCCGGGAAGGGACACAGTGCCTCACTCTGCCGTGTTTCTGCCGAGCACAGGCCGAGTGTGGGGACAGGGCACAGAGCCGCCCTGTCTCCCAGCTGCTCTCGCCCAGCCCTGAAAGCCCACTGCCGTCCACCAGTGAAAGGCTCTATTCACACCACGCGCGGCCTCCGACAGCCAGCCTGTCGCACGGGCGCAGGTGCAGGCCCTGCCCGGCCTGCGAGAGCTGCCACGCTTACAACATCCTTTCACCGTGTGAAGTGAAGCTGCAACATCACCTTCAAAGGATTTTGTCTGGTTTTCTTACCAACAAGGACACGCAGCTACATAACCACAGGATCACGAGCAAAATCAGGAAACTCAGAAGATGCACCGAAACCCCGTCCCAGCGAGTTTCGCCCATCACCCCAACAATCTCCTTCCCGGCACAGGCCGGCAGGACCCTTCCTGCCCAGTGCCCGGCCTGTGACTCTCCCTCCAGCGTGGCCTCTGCCACCCACACACACCCCCTGCCCCAGCCATCCTCCCGGCCACACTGCTCACTCGCTCCCTGCTGGCATCACGCTGGGGAGCCCTCCTCTCACATCCTGGGGTGAAACCCCCACAGCCCAGGGCTCGGACCGCCCAGGGGCTCTCCCAGCCTCACCGTGCAGAACACCCTGCTCAGGCCAGCGCCCCCGCACCTGCCTGCCGCGGGCTGCGCAGGCGACAGAAAACTCCACTCTTTAAATTCGAAATCTACTACGAAGCTGGCTTGACCACCCCCCTGCAGTCACCCTGACCACCACCTGCAGAGGACCCCGGCCACCCCCACTCATCTCCCAGCCACTGGGGCTCCCATCCATGCTCGGGTGCACCAGGCCCGGGTTTCCGGGGGTCCGCACCGCACCCAGCCCGGAACAGCTAGCTGCCTGAGGTTCTCACACCTCTGTCCTCCTGCCCCCCTCCCTGGTCTCACTTCACCGGCCCCGCCCCTGCTCCGGCCTCCAATGCAGAGGCGGGCAGAGCCTGGCCTCCTGCTCCCGAACCCTCCTGGCCCCTTCAGGGCTGGTGCTGTGCGGATTCCCTCCTGGCAGCCCTCTGCCTCTCCCCAATGGCCCCTCCCGTGAACTCCACATAAAGCAGCATGACCCCAAGGTCACAGGCCACGTGCCAGCTGAGAAACCGGAATGAACAGCCTCACCTTCCTCTACATCACTGTTCCCGATCGGCACGCTGCCTTCCTCCATATCCACATCAGCCCGAGCCCGGCCCTGCGCCCCAGACCTGCCCTGTCCCACACAGGACCCGCCCGCTGAGCAGGGCCGCTCCGCTCCTCCGCAAAGCCTTCCAGGCCAGCCACGCCTTCAGTCCCACCTCGAGCTCCAGCCTGTGAGGCCCGTGCCAGTGAATGCTCCTACACCGAGCAGTCAGGTCCAGGCTTTGGAACCCACAGGCCTGCATCCACACCCTGGCTTTACCACGTGAAAAGCCAGGGCATCCTGGACAAATATTCAAAACCAGTGCCCTGGTGCACGAATTCCTGCACGGTGAAAGGAAATTAATCTGCCGAAACCGGTTTGGCTCAGCAGTAGAGCTGTCAGTCTGCGTGCGGACTGAAAGGTCCCAGGTTCGATTCCGGTCAAGGGCATGTACGTTGGTTGCGGGCACATCCCCAGTAGGGGGTGTGCAAGAGGCAGCTGGTCGATGTTTCTCTCTCATCGATGTTTCTAGCTCTCTATCTCTCTCCCTTCCCCTCTGTAAAATATCAATAAAATATACTAAAAAAAAATAAAGGAAATTAATCAGAAGGTGGCCGCCAGGGCGGGACTGGGCGAGATGAGCCGGACACGCCCTGGAGCCAACCTCCTGCCGTGGAGTCTGTGGCTCCTCCCGCAGGTGGGGTCCCGTGGCCTGGCCTGTGGGGACCGGGCTGAAACCAGCTCTCCCACATCCCCTAAGGCAGGCGTCCTCAAACTTTTTAAAGTGGGGGCCAGATCACGGTCCCTCAGAGAGCTGGAGGGCCGGACTATATGAATTACTAATTCCTACTGTAACACCTTGGCTGCACTCACTGCCCAAAAAACCTGGCGGGCCGGATCAGACTCCGCGGGCCGCATGTGGCCCGCGGGCCGTAGTTTGAAGACGCCTGCCCTAAGGGGTCCCAAAGCAAAGTTGCAGTCATACAAGCTGTGGGACGAAATGCAAGTGTGCAGTAACCAGATTCGGGCCGACAGTGCCCAGCCACAAACATAACCCACGGCCGACTGGCCCCGAAGGAACCGGGCTCCCTCCTCTCGGGTTCTGGGGTGCATCACCCGAGAACCGCGGCTGCCAAGTCCCTCAGCTCGGCGAGGTTCAGAGCGACAGGTGGGCCAGTAGGAGGGGCACTTAGCCTTTGGCCCTTTATACGTACAGATGAGTCAGCTACACACTAAGGAGCCACTCCAGCTCGGGGCAGAGTGGAAATGTGTACGAGGAGCCTCGCCCAGAACCGCACCTGCTGAACACGGCGCACCTGGATACAGCACGTGTGTGTGTCTGCGATCTCCTCGGAAGGGAGCCGCACATCTGAGGGCGACACAGGAAGTGTCAGGGCAGAGCAGGGAGCCCAGGGGAGCCCAGCCGGAGTCCCGTGCTCCTGGGCCTGTGCAGGCAAGGC